TCCTGCCCCCCCTCCTGCCTGTGACATCCTCCCTGCCCCTCCGCCTGTGACACTAATTGTGTTTGTTCCTCAGGCAACGTGCAGTTTCTCAGACTGATATTTGTCACCATTGAGGGAGGCTGCATTTTAACCGAAAGACAGCTTTGCTCAGATGGGCAAAGGGGAGACAAACATTAAATTAAAACTTAAGTTATACAACACAATTGCGAGCAAACATCGAGGAAAATCTTGTCTTACAAAGACAAGATTTGTATAAGGAACTAGTGTTGCTAAAGGTGTTACTCAAATTAGTAAGTCACGATCAACAGAGATAGACGAGGTAGAAAGGCTATTATTAGTGTGGATAAAAGAAAGGCATATAGCAGGTGAGCCTATTTGAGCCTATAACTTGCGAAAAAGCTAGGGCTATAAATGCAGATCTCGTAAAGGATAAGCCATCAACGAGTGATAATGGTGAAACATATCGTGGCAGTAAAGGGTGTTTTCACAATTTTAAAGCGAGAACTGGGGTTCATAGCGTAGCTAAGCATGGTGAAGCAGCCAGTGCTGTTGAAAGGGCTGCTGAAAATGACATACACCACTTTAAAACGATGAAACAGAGAAAAGTATGAAATTGATGTTTCTGGTAGGCTAGGCACATTTTATAACTTTTTGGTGAGTACGTTAGGAAAACGATTGGTGTTTCTGGTAAATCACGCACATTAAACATTGCTTATTATGAATAGGTTAGGTAGCCTAAGGGGTTCGGAATACATTATGGGTATTTCCATTATTTCTTATGGGAAAAATAGTCTTGACTTGAGTTACGACCAGCCCTCGCGAACAAGTTGAGTTCGTAAGTCAAGCGTCCGCTGCATGTTATTCATGTTTTTAGAGAAAATGTAATACATATACGGTGACATGTTGTTGTTGTTTGAGAATACAAATTAAACGTGTTTGTTTACTACGCTTTTGGAAAAGTGGATTCAAACTTTCAGAATGCCGTCTGTTAGAAAGGAGTCGCGTATCACCCGGGAAAAATACAAACAAAAGGATAACCACGCGAGCTAAAATATATAATGTTTACTCACTGATACATACATCGCGAATGGTAATTAGCGTGCTTCTTATAGTAAAATGCATTATTCTGAATGATGCTTGACTGGAGACTGTACCAAGGCCAGCGCTGTTGGGGGAAACGCAGATAGTGCTGCGCTAATTCTATAGGAATTAGAATTTCTGTGCCACTTATTGGCCCATGTTGCTAAAATATGGAATGTCTGTTTCATGTGTCTAATGGTATACCGTAGCATATAGTGTAATACTGCATAAATTCACATTTGACAGCCTCGGGTTGTTAGACAAGGATGTTTGCAGAATCCGCGAGACATTCGTGTATTGGAAATGTGGTTAGTAATCAACAGGTCTGATAAATAACAGGCATCTTTAGAAAATGTAGCTCTGCGTGTGTTATTGGGTGAATTAAATATCAAAGCATCAATTTGGAAATATTTTATGAATCATTTTATTCACCGTAGAATTTCCATATAATAAAATATGTAATGTTTTAATTACTCCTTAATTTTAGACAAGTCACAAAAACCTGGTAATACTGCCTGTTCTTGAAGCTGTAGAGGAAAAATAGCACATACATTGTCAAATGTATGTTACATAATATGCAACTTTTATTGTAATGCTTATAACGATCAAATAGTATTAGATGTCGATGGCTTGGTGCGATTGTATTTCAGATCACTAAGGTTTTATAATCGGGTCATATTTCAGATCCATCAAGCTTTCGTAATGCGGTCATTTTAGTTCTCAAAGGCTTGTAAGAAGAGGTCGTGTGCCTGACCGCCAGTGTTTGTGTTACAAGGTGACGATAAGCTTCCTCCGAGTTCCCTTTCTGCACACTTAATTCCCCCCCCCCCCCCCCCCCCAACACACAGACACACAGACACACAGACACACACACTGACCAGTAGAACCCCAGGCAGTGTCCCTGGTGACCCCTAAAACAAAACACCATCTTTAATCTTTAAAAATATTTGTCATTGATATTCTAATGCCTGTTAGGCTACGCGCTTCAGTAAAGGCATGTATAGGCATCCCGGGAAATTTAAGAATGAATTCGGTATGCACATTTTTTGTGTAATTACAGTAGTGTCCCCGCAGTTAAGTATTGGTTTGCTTTGAGTGCCATCTTGCGGTCCTTGCGGTTTTATTAAGGGCTGTCTACGATGGTCTATAAAAATAAGTGTCTCCCAGAAAATCTAAGTTCATCAAGCGGTAATAGAACTCTACTCTAAATTTAATATTTAGATGAGATTTATTTGCATATGTTTATTTTGTAGGAACGGTCTCTAAGCTTAGCCTGCCGATGGGCCGAACATCGTGGATCGGCCAATCAGAGCAGAGTTCGCTAAATATTCATGATCCATACACCTTGTTAAAAATGTGTTATGAGTGTCTGGCTCCGGATCACGGCGGCGCTGGGTAGTGCGCTCCCCGCTTGCATTCCTCGGTTTGCTCTGGATTTTGGCAGTACTTTAAAAAAATAAGACGATGGGTGCTTGTATGGCATTGTGTTCGTTGGCGAGCTGTGTAAGTAGATGTTTTGGTTTTGTTTGATGTGGAGTTTGTGCGTTGTTTTCTAAAAATACAAACTACGCTGAAATGGGACTTGTATTCTTTGTTTGATCTTTAAGGATTGTTTCTACTTCATTGGTAGACCGCAGTTATTATTTACAAAAGACACCAGGAAAGCAGTTTTTTGCGCCGTATTTATTTTTTGTTTAATTCGATCGAATTGCATTACTCTGAAAACTATCAGACTTGATATAAAACAAGCCAGGTTTTCGTGGTACAAAAGAACTTCCGCGTTTCTTGTGTATTTTTATCCAGTGTAAGAATATAACGTAAAGGCGTGACTGCACTGGGCCTTTCAGAAAATGTCACCAAGATTTTTTAAAGTGTCATATGATTAACAAATTAAAGTTTACTTATATTTTGGTAAGATATGTCATCAGTCCTCCGTGAATATGATACCGACTGTTTCGATCTACTGCAGATACCCAGATGAAGATAAAATGAATATGTACCTAATTAATAATCGTAACTTATTCATAAATGGAATACTTCTATGTGAAACTCTTTTTAAATACACGGTGCTGTCATGTAAATGGCCTGGGGTGGGGTGACATTTCATGATTTGCTTGCTTTTCAAACCCAACCAATGTTAGCACGGGTAGCATTTACCGGCCTAAGTGAGAGGTGATGAGCGGCTCCCTCGTAAAGCCTCTTGCCCGGCAGGCCTCCTGTCTCTGCGGCTCTGCCCCATGCCTCCTTTCCAGTTGCTGCCCCAGCACCAACAACTCCACTGTCACCCGGCTGCTGTTCTCTCTCCTCCTGCTACTGGGAACAGCGCTGTCTGTCATCATGATCCTGCCAGGCATGGAATCTCAGCTCAAAAAGGTACCGCAAACCAGTAATAATTTGTGCTGTCATGGAAATGTGTTTGTCTCCAGCGGTTTACACAAAACCACAAATCTTCTAAGTATAATCCCTTTCCTTTACATGTTTTACATTAATTGAATGAGTTAATTTATAACAGTGACAAATGAATGATCTGTACATAAATTAGAAGTAGAATGACTGAGATAATCATAAGTACTGTAACAGATGAATGACTGTGAATGAATGAGTACATGAATGTTACATTGATATAGTGCTTTACAGAACCAATGGGGAGCCACTTCACCCACCACCACTGTGTAGCCCCCAACTGGATGATGTGGCAGCAGCCATTCTGCACCAGTACACTCACCACACAGTAGCTAAGGTGGTGAAGGGCTAGGAGAGAAATCACCAGTTAGATACAGGGATGATTAGGAGGCCTGATCTGATAGGGCCACAGCGGGCAATTTAGCCAGAGCAGATGCTTGGAATAAAAGTTAAGATAAAAGTGGACTAGCAGTGAAAAGACAGCTTGCTGAAAGGGCAGCTGGGAACCTGGTGAATACGATTCGCTGTGGAGAATGCAGCTAATGGCAAAGAAGTTTGACTTCCTGCGTCTGTCTCTGTGCACGTGTGCATCTGTATGTGTCTTTCTGTGTGCATGTGTCTCTGTGTCTGTGTGCATGTTTGCCTGTCTGTGTGCTTGTGCTTGTGCCTGTGTGCGTGCATGTGTGTGTGTGTGTGTGTGTGTGACCTCTACCTGCAGATCCCAGGCTTCTGTGTTGGGGGCAGCTCTGCTCCCTTCATTGCGAACAAGGTGAACTGCGACATCATTGTGGGCTACAAGTCTGTGTACCGCACCTGCTTCGCCATGGCTTCTTTCTTCCTGCTCTTCTCCATCATCATGATCCGCGTACGCAGCAGCAAGGACCCACGGGCCCTGCTCCAAAACGGGTACGCAGCGCTCCTTTGCCGGCAGACTCTGTTAGCATTGCCTGGGTGTGTCTTAAGCTGTAGGTGAGACTATCGATGCAGGATTTCTGGAGGGTGTGCTGGGGGGGGTGCACATTGTGGGAGGGGCACTGGTAATCTGCCATCTCATTGTAGGTTCTGGTTCTTCAAGTTTCTCGTGTTGGTGGGAATAACAGTCGGAGCTTACTTCATCCCTGATGGAGTCTTTAATACAGGTAGAGTCATACCGTGAGAGTATGATCAAGATTGAAATACCTTGCAAATAAAATTAGAATATTAAATAATGCATTTCCCGTTGAATGTTGTCAGATTTGGCAAATGTCAGACTGTGGTCACACACACCAACCTTTGGAATGTCTGGTCTGGGCCATGTCCAGTCAGAGCGACATTAGGAACAGGAGCATAAAACTGTTCCTGAGACACACTGCTTTCGAACTGGAAAAACCCAAAAGGTTCATTTTCTCTCAAAGCTAGAAAAATATTCTGTGCCTTGCTGAAGTGGGTAGGTGTCACTGAAGCTGTGCCCTGGGGTCATTGTCAATGTCGGAGACTGTGACCGCTGTTAGAAGGTCGTCCGACCTGCTGGACGTCTGGCTTCTTAGATGAACCCAGCTTTTGTTTTGGCCAGTCGCAGTAAAACATCAGGCTGTGTTATATCCCTGGGAATGACCCCCCACCCCCCCCTTCACAGTGTGGTACTATTTTGGCATGGTGGGCTCCTTCATCTTCATCATCATCCAGCTGATCCTGCTGATCGACTTTGCTCACTCTTGGAATGAAGCCTGGGTGGACCGGGCCGAAGAGGGCAACCGCCGGTGCTGGTTCGCAGGTACTGTAGTAGCTGCTCCTTGGGGATCGCATCACACGATGGGTATTCTGATATCAGCACGGCCTCTGACCAGCGTGTTTGCTTTCTCTGCCAGCTCTGCTGTCCATCACAGTGCTCTTCTACAGTCTAGCTTTGGCCGCTGTGGTACTTCTCTACATATTTTACACCAAGCCTGATGACTGTGCTGAGCACAAACTCTTCATCAGCCTTAACCTGATCGTCTGTGTCGTCGTCTCCATTGTGTCCGTCTTGCCCAAAGTTCGGGTACGCAGGCCGCAATCTTTTCTGACTGATGATGCTGAGCTTGTTGGTATCTGGGAGATTGACTGTGTGTGTTTCCGCTTCCAGGAAGCCCAGCCTTACTCCGGCCTGCTTCAGTCCTCATTCATCACCATATACACCATGTACGTTACATGGTCTGCTATGACCAACAATCCCAGTAAGTAACATACCGCAGCCTGATGCCAGCCCCAAATGCAACCTGTGGCAACCTTGCCTAGTTTCGAGCGACTTGGGCTTCTTCACGCGTCAGATGTTGTCCTCACTGCCTGCCGACTGTGTTTCCTCTGGGCGTTTCCGGGGCTCCGCTCTGTTCTTGGCATTCCTCACCGCAATATGACTCTTCCCATGTTTCCATCAATTGAGGCTAAGACAGAAGGTTGGAAAGCTGTTAGCATCTCTGTGCTCTACGTGTCTCTGACATATGTTCATGTAAGCCGGGCATGCCTGGCACTAACCAGCCCCTTCCCTCCTTCAGACCGTGTTTGTAACCCCAGCCTGCTGAGTCTGGTGTCCAATTCAAGTAGCCCAGTTCCCGGCAGTGGCCCTGGACAGGTGGAGTGGTGGGATGCACAAGGCATTGTGGGGCTAATCCTCTTCATCCTTTGCGCGCTCTTTGCCAGGTACGCCCTTCGGCACTGTGTCAGGTCGCATGCCAGGTACGCTCTTCGGCACTGTGTCAGGTCGGCATGCCAGGTGTGCCCCTCGATGCTGCCTCAGGTCGGCATGCCAGGTGTGCCCTTTGGCGCTGCCTCAGGTCAGCATGCCAGGTGTGCCCTTTGGCGCTGCCCCAGGTCGGCATGCCAGGTGTGCCCGTTGGCGCTGCCTCAGGTCGCATGCCTGAACCTCCCGGCCCTGCTGGTCATGGCTGTGAGTCGGCAGGTGCAGGAGTGCCTCTTCCTTTTAGCAGCTCACGATCGACACCTAAAATACTGGGATTAGAAAAATTAATAAAAGACTCAAAGCGCACAACCTAAGAATTGTTGTTGGCCGTATATGAAATACAATTAATACATTTCCAAGTGGAGCGGAAATGGTTTTGGGCCAGCATTTGATAATATGCTCCTCGTCGCTGAACCCCAACCCTCGTGAAACTGGCCTCCTGCATCCTCCCTTCAGCATCCGCTCATCCAGCAACAGCCAGGTGAACAAGCTGTTGCAGACGGAGGAAGGGAAGGCCGACTCTGCAGAGGCTTGGACTTCTCCTGGGGAGGAAGGGCTGAGGCGGGCAGTGGACAATGAGGAGGACACTGTTGCCTACAGCTACTCCTTCTTCCACTTCTCCCTCTTCCTGGCCTCCCTCTACATCATGATGACCCTAACCAACTGGTACCAGTGAGTGTTCCCTGAGTCGCTCGTATACATGGAGATGTCTGCAGTACAAGAGTATTTCTTGTCCATGTTGCTGCTGAGTGCTGAGGTTCCCGATGAAGGTACATCTCCTCTTCCTCGTCATTTGCAGAAGTTAGACCAAAGCATGTTGTATTTTATAACCTGTCCTGATCTATGTTGGTCAACCAAAGAACGAATCATCTGAGTTTATGAAAGGCTTAACCAGTCTTGAAAGATTTTGCCCATTGTGCGATTCTCCTAGTGGTGAGCTAACTTTGGTGCCGTTTTTCAGAGTGAGCCTTATCAGTTATCAGTCTGCTGCCAGCTAAAAGGCTCGGAGACGCACTCATTCTGATTTTCAGGGCATTCTTGTACTGGCCATTTAGCTTCCTTTATTCTGGGGTTGGGGCCAAAGCTTTGCAATGAGGCTGAAAACTGCCCAAAAACAGGTTAAACTGCAATCCGATATTTTGCACTGTTGTCTGCTGAAGTAGAGATGAAACCAGCCATAACCTCCACTTACCCCTGAGCAGCCATCAGAGCTTCGCCTCTGTCAGTCTGGCCATGTTAGGTTACCTGTAATGTTATATCTGCTGAGTCTCTTGGGCGCCCTCTACATAGCATGTCCCATTGTTTTATACATCTCCAAGATAGTGTTTCACACAACCAGAAGTCATAAACTTGTTAGGGGTAAGTGGGCTATGGAGACCCATTGTCTCTCTGTGGTGCGCCCCCTGCAGGCCGGACACGGACTATCAGGCTATGCAGAGCACGATGCCGGCTCTCTGGGTGAAGATTTCCTCCAGCTGGCTCGGCTTGCTGCTCTACCTCTGGACCCTGGTAGCGCCGGTCGTGTGCACCAGCCGCGACTTCAGCTGAGCATGGAGACCAGCTGGCCCTCGGCCCTGCTCAGAGGGCGGGGCAAGGCCCCCACCTGAAGGAGGCTGCCTGTGATTTGGCCACAATCCTGACACTTCTTTTCCTTTCCCTGTAATTATCTGTATAGTTTGCAAATGAATGTCTTTGAGTGACTCTCATTTTTGTCTTTCTGATTCACTGTGACCAAAACTTCTAAAGCTTTTCATTGATTGTAAAAGGTTTTTTTTTTTTAGACATCCCAGCTGAGTTTTCGGACCGTTCATCCTGTAACATTTACAAATGATTGCGCTGAATGACATTTGCTGTTTACTGTCTGTCCCTGACCATGTGCGGCAGGCAGCTTTGTTCAGCTAGAAGGCCCAGCTAAGCAAATGTTTGGCTGCCGTGGTTAGAGCATTTGGCAAAGGCGCCGACTCTAGCTGTGTGGGGGGAACATGTCCTTCTGCTTCCACAATGTTCCCCGTGCACGAAGACAAGGGGAATTGTCTGAGTCGCAGAAGGCTGGGCAGACTGTGCTGCTCTGGAGGCGAGTGCTGCTGTCCTGCAGCTCCTCGCTTCATTCTGTAAGTGTGACTGCAGGCCTGTTCACGTTCTCCTGGGAGTCCAGTCACTCCTTAGTTCATTCTTCGTCCGGTGCGTTCAGATCCAACAGGTATGAAAGCATCTTCTCACTCAGCAGGTACAGATATCCGGGCAGTGTCTCCTCAGACAGGCTTCCATGCGTCACGGTCAAATCATTACGTTTTATTCCCTGACTGCCAAACGGTGCTGGTGAGGTACCTTTCTGTACTCCAGGTGGGCTGTTGCCTTTTTTTAATAATAAATGTTGTTTTGCAAACACTATTAAAAATACTGTGTGTTCCTAAATGCCTTTTATTTTCATACTGACAGTCCCATAATCTGAAATTCTAGGTACGTCTAGTACCATATATAATGTTCATGTGCCTTTTATTTACAGCAGTGATTATATAAAGAAGCCTTTTTGTAATTATAAATGTAGTTGAGAGCCTGATGTACTTTTGGTGTTTTGGCTGTATGACAGTATAAATAAACACGTTTGTCATAAATGCTCCATCTCCTTCTTTTTCCTGCCCTTGTTCCATAAGCAGACAGTGAGAAGATTCTCTTTGCCCAGGTGGAGGTGCTGTTCTTGCCACCTACATTTCAGGCTTGATCCATATCCTCAAATGAACTCCTTGGTTTTAATGTGTTGCACTGTGATTGATTAGATCACGGAGGATTTCCTGGGTGCTGGTTAGACATGAAGTCAGTAAAGATTGGCTTCTAGCCTGTGTTAAAATCCTGCCATTGAGGTATGGTGGACCACTGGGGAAAGGGACTCGCTTTCAGGGAGTACCTTCCTGCAGTATAGGTGTGACTCCTCCCCCATGGCAGTGCAGACAACAGGCAGTGACTCATTCCATTTGCCGTTCTTTCGTTCTCTGAACAGTTTGAGTTCCACAGTACCGCCCACTTGCTTTCTCTTCTGCCTGCACGATGCAGTCACTTGTGATCCTCTGAGCCCCACCCCCCCCCTTTATATGACAGGCCCCAGGTCGGCAAGAGCATCCTGGTCCAAGCAACAGGACACTGGGACCTTGCGTTGGTGTTGCTCGGAGGAGTGCTAAGGGGATCCTCCACACAACTGTGACCTCCAGATGGGCAGTGCCATGGAGCCAAAAGCAACTGATGCAGTGCCTTTGCCCAGTGCCAGCCTGCCCGGTTTGTCGTGACACATGTGATCGCTCTGTGTGTACAGTCATACGCCCGTATGTTTACCCTGTGCTAGCCTGTCATAACGTGTGATCGCTCTGCTCAAATGTACTGGTGCACAAATGTTTTTGCTTGGCTTTCACGTGGATGTGCACTCGCCGCTTTTCATGGACCTTCCCTGGGCATAGATTTTTTTTTGGGGGGGGGGCACAGACCATTTGTAACATTGGAAGTTGCTTCTCAGCTTGAGTGTCTCGTGTTCGTATCCTGTTTTAATGAAGTCTAGGCTCCGTTGTGAAACTCGGCCATGATGTAATATTCAATGCATCCAATTTCATCATTTCAGTCCTGCTCTATGTGGGAGGATGTACCACAGGCTAGTTATGAAATATAAACCCCTCACCTAAATGAGTGGGCAGCATTTAGAGGCTGCTTGTTGCCTGCTGCAGCATACTGCAATTCATTCATCAATCTATATCCCTGGAGTCCCCTTTTCTCTGTAGAAAACCCCCAGCACTTTTTGTGGAGGACACCGATGAGATATTACACAGGGCACGTTATGCCCGCTCCTCGCTCCACCTAGTGATACATGCTCGGGTTCAGACCATGGAGAAGGGGCGGGGACATCGGGACGTGCTCAGTAGTGCGCCGTGCGTCGTTAGCGAAGCGGGAGATAGTGTCCCTGTAGTGGCCATCGGCTTATCGTGGAATTGCAGCTTCCGTTTATCGCTGAGGGAAAGCCCCCCTCGTAGCAGCCCACCGCCCAGACGCGCTGCGAGGACGCGCACTGCCACACTTGCCCTCGTTCCTTTCGGAGGACACACTGAGGAATAAAACGGTTACTGCACAGTTCCTCCCGGCAAGCAGTGAAGTTAACGTCGGTCGCCTGCTCATTTTATGTCGTCGTTGTTGATGACAATAGTTTAGACTGTTAACAGATGAAAAATGCACGCAAAATAGTGTCTGAAAGAGATCATGCACCAGAATAGTTCAGTTAAATTGCTTTGGCTGGTAAGAAATTTTAATCTGATATATCTTAATGATTTTCCTGCGTATTGTTGTATTGTCTCATTATTTAAACAACAGTTGTACATACGATGATACCGGCGATTGAACTACTAATTCACTGGAGTATGTTCTATTTAAAAATTGCATTTTGTGTCTGATGTCATCGGTAACAAGTGTGGAGCTCCTATTGTTAAGGTGTACAGTTTGTTCGTTTGCTGTTTACAGTTAGCAGTGTTTCGGCTTACTGTATAGTACAGTAGGCTATTGTTCTCTTGTTATTTTGCAAAAAAACAAAAATTGCCCATGCGTTTTTATTACCGCTTCCCTCTGTGTACAGTTGATCACTGATTTTTTTAAATTGGCTAAACGTACCAAAGCTTTCTGTAAGAGCCGTAAGTTTGAATGCATTTACTCTTTTTTTATAAGCATGATTCGCTTGCTATAATGCTGATGGTGACGATGCCCGTACATGCATCGCATTGTGACAGTTTCAATCGTGTGCGTCTCCAGCCAAACTGAGATTAACATGAGCACGCGCAGACCAGGGGACTCTCTGTTCCCAAATCTCCGGGAAGCAAACGAAGAAAACAAATTAGCCGGCAATTTATAGGAGACGGCACTTCGGCTGCAAAGTGCTTTGCAGGCAGTCACTGTCCGTGCACAATTTGAAAGGGTGAAAAGTTTAGCCTTATCGCAGCATCCTATCGCTTTCGTTTTCGATGAAACATTCAACGGAGTGCAATAACATTACATAATAACTGTTACTCGTGGTGCAGGATGCGGTGCGCATGGGTCCATCACTGTCAGCGCAGTGCTCCGTAATGAAATATTCATATACCACTTTGGGGCAGCTGTTATTTTTGTTTTCTGCCATTTACGCGCAGGCTTCGGGACGTCTTAGACGTATTTGGAAATCAGCTTATTTTTTTTTACAAACCTGCCACTAATTAATTGAATTCTGAGTTTCCGCCTGTTCTAATATACTGTAGATTGCGACTGTTACATCTGAAATAGTACTGTTCTTACTTGCTTACTTTTCCGTAATGTGGACTGAGCGCCGTTTTCTGAAACGCAACACTGCTCCTCTCTCCAGTTGTATTTCCACAGTACCATTACGTCATTATGTTAGAAGGGAGCTGCAATTAGAGTTCATCATGTACATTAAGCCGGTCCTTCTACACTTGAGCTTGCATACTCAGCCTATCGTTTCCATTCAGTGCCTGTACTGTGGCTATTCTTGTGGACTAGAGAAATGCCATCGGGTCTCAGTGGATTCTGCAGCTTTGCAGAATGCATAAAGGAGCCTCAGGCTTGCTTTTTGGACAAGAAAGTATCTTATGAATGCTAAAATATCTTGGAGAAACATGGGGAATATTCACAAAAGCTATTATTGTGTGGACTGCTCTACACTAGTCTGTGTGCCTTATCTAACAGAAAAATAAAAATAGCTTTGGCATCGTACAAATGAGACCGTGGGGAATGGGGGTCCCCTGTAGGATGCGGCCCAGTCTGCTGTCCCCTCACTCTGTGGGGGGGCTGTCAGCCCGCTGTCCCTTTTTGTTCCTGATGAAGTCAGAGGTTAAAGTGGCCGCTAGCTCTGTGATCCAGTGGCCGGGTACCTGCCCTTCCCTCCTAGAAGAGGGGCGTCATGGAGACCGGCCAGAATTGTCAGGGATGGTCGCTCGCGGCGCTGTGATATCAGCGGTGATCCGAGCCGCAGATGGTGCCAGCGTATGGCGCAGTGTGGGCGTTTGCCACTGTACTGTCCGTCACCGTGGGCTTGGCAGCATTGCCCTGACAGGCTATAGCCCACCTGTAGCCGTCCTGCTTGCTTTGCTCTGTCCCACCTACTCACCCACTACACTCATGTGTCATCACCCCCAAATGGTGCCCATGTTTACAGTCTTAATGGTAACATTTTCTCCCAGTTTTCATTTTTATCATGGTTAGGGTTAGTTAGTTAGATTCTGTACTTAATAGGATACCCTTCCTGGTTTTTCACCCAAAAATGTTCCCATTACAAATGTATGCTTTCAAGCACCTTAATTATTACATTCTGAACAGGTGCCTGTGTGTGGGCAGTACAGTGTGCTGCTGCGTATCTTTCAGTGGAGGGAAAGAACTCGTGATGCTGAGCCGGTGGCTGAGGTTCGCAGATGCTACTCAGTAACTTTTGAAATAAGACACAGCATTAATCACTTGTGTAGGCCGCTTTATTGCTCTGCGTGCTTCTTACAGCAGAGTGCGCGCTGGCTAAAATATTATGTTAAGCTTGACAAATGTCATATGCAAGCCGCCCTTGTCACAATGCTACATGCTTCTCGGAGATTTCTAAGGGGCTGCATAGGTGGGAGAGCGCGGCCGTGGCGCTGAAGGCGTGATGCGTGCCTCTCGTAGCAGGGCAGCTTGGCCTGTAATGAAGTGTCGGACGTCAAAGCCGCGAAGCGCGAGGGGAGCCGTAGGTGTGGACTCACCTCATTTGGTTGGAAGACGCAGGACGGAGCCAAAGGATGTGGGGGGGCGAGGTGCAAGGCAGGCCGTCTAGAGAGGGCGGCACTTCCTTCAGGCTAGCGTGTGTCTGTCATCAGGAAGGATGCTGGGAGATAAATTTAGACTTCCAGCTCAACCTCCATCTGCTGCTCCTCAGTTTGGGTCTGTTGCTATGGGAACCAGCATGGGGATCCTGTGGATATGAGAAGATATTTACATGAGCTCTTAATCATAGACAGAGAAGCACAACAATATCCCTCCTGTTTGACCAGCAATGTTGAAATGGTTCATGGCACCATAGATTAGGATCACTGCCACCCGTGTGTCTCTGTAGGTGAGCTGAGGCAGAGATGCACAGGGGGAGATCAGGACTTGACAAACTGTAAGCCAGCACGAGATTTGAAGATTAAAACATTCCTCTAGCCCATGGTTGGTTCTTTCTTTGTGTATTTTTTGTATTGTATTGTAAAACAGTAGCTGATTTTTCTGCTGAACAGCAGTCTCAGATTGGCTTTTTTTGTTAAGGAGATTGGGGTCTCTCATGTCACAGCATAATGTCCACCCCTCCTGGGCCACAGCCATTTCCTGATTGTGTGAGTTCCACTAAACCTGTGCCCACCTAGGATCTGTGTGTGAGCTCCACTAAACCTGTGCCCGCCTAGGATCTGTGTGTGAGCTCCACTAAACCTGTGCCCGCCTAGGATCTGTGTGTGAGCTCCACTAAACCTGTGCCCGCCTAGGATCTGTGTGTGAGCTCCACTAAACCTGTGCCCACCTAGGATCTGTGTGTGTGAGCTTCACTAAACCTGTGCCCATCTAGGATCTGTGTGTGTGAGCTCCACTAAACCTGTGCCCATCTAGGATCTGTGTGTGTGAGCTCCACTAAACCTGTGCCCACCTAGGATCTATGTGTGAGCTCCACTAATGAATATAGATGAAAAACACAGTATACAATGATCGCTATCACGCCAGAGGCTGCCATAAACACTCTTGCCATCCCAACCAGCACTGTACACATATTTTATGCATTTATGAGTTACTAAACTTTTTGTGTGTTGTCTGCTGGTCTTCACTTGTCTGCAGCTTTCTCAAAACTCCCCAAAAATGCTCCTTTAATGGGGAACATTGCAATTCAGAAGGGCCAACTACACATCCAAGTTGTATTACACAGCAAGTCTGTTCAAACCAAATGTCTGAGGTGGACATTTCAGGTCCAGAAAGTAAAAATCCAGGCCAGGATTTTGTTTCAACCAACCACTTCAGTACTATATGACTGTGACTCTTTATGCTCAACTGGTTGGTTGAAACAAAATCCTGGTCTGGATTTTTACTTTCAGGACCTGAAATTTTCACGTCTGGGTTTGAATGTATGTCTGATTCAAATGTTGTGGCCCATTTGTTTTAATAATGTATGTTTTTAAAAACGATGGATGGATGGATGGATGGATGGATGGATGGATGTTTTTAAAAATAATTTCATGAAAACTAGTTTAAAACCCCCATCCAAAGCCACTGTTTCTTTTCACAGAGCCTTTGAAGCAGCATCAAGCCGCAGTGTAAGGGTGACTGAGTGATCCTGTCAGCTGCCTGTTGTCCCTGCAGTGCGCTGCACAGGGGCCTGCTGTAGCAGGGAGCTCAGGCCGGGTGGAGTCTGACATGGCAGCCGGCTGAGCCCAGGTTTGGGAAGATCAGTGTCCAGCAGAAGGATTGCTGCTGTCAGCTTGGACGTCCTCAGTCCTGCTTCCAAGGGGCCCCTTTCTTTAGGGTGCCAACAAGAGGGATTTATCAGAGGGTAAATAAGACAGGACATAAACGAAGGAACAACTTTTATTGAATGTCCATCCATCCAGACATTTACTGCTTTGCTGGCTGAGCTGTGATGCCCCAGTGAGGCAGCAGCTCGAGGTCTTCCCAGAGCCTGCATGAAGTTTCTTCTGACCATGCGGCTTCCACCCAGTCCAGCAAAAGGGCAGAATTCAGTGAATGACAGTCTCAGTCACTTTTGAGGAATTATTTTTCTGCTGATCCCCACAGCTGATCTGCCAGGCAGCTGCAGAAATGGCGGCTCCACCTTGAGGCCCAGCGAAGGAAGTGCCATCATTCCATTCTCTTGGGAGAGAAGACAGCCGGTGCCGCACTGAGAGGAGAGAGATAGTGAGGTCCAAATATTTCAGGGAGAGCCTTGGCCTCAAACCAGTGAAGCTCTGAGTGTGTAACTTCAGGAAGGTGTCCCTGGGAGGGAAACCTGACTCCAGAAGCCTGGGAAGTACTTGTTGAGGTTCTGTCTTTGTGCCGGTAGCAAGCCCAGTGTCCTACAGAAGCACATCCGCTCACACACTGGGCAAAGTCCCTGTCCCTGTGGCCCGCACCACACGCCCCATACCCGCCGAGCTCCGTCTGGTGAGGAACGCAGTCTGAGCGGTTCTGAAGGTGGGCGACCAGCAGAGGAGCAGGCGAAGCAGCCGGAGGCGAAAGCATGAGCTCAGAGGGTGAATCTGGGCAGCGTGGGAGCACCTCCTCGTCTACAGAGGAGCACGGACGGACTGCCTCGCAGGAGAGCAGCACCACACCGTTATCTTCTGCTAAGGAGGCCCAGGGAATAAAAGATTTTCTGCCAGCAGAGGGCGCCCATGCAGTCAAGCAGCGGCTGGCCCTGCGACTGAGTGAGAGGAGGCATGCTCCCCTAGGGTCCTACGAGGAGGCCCCTGCCTCCCTGGACCTCTGGAGCAGGGGCAGCACCGAGTCCGGCTATTTCTCCCGCTCTGACAGCGGCGACTGGTCCCAGGCAAGCCCCCCAAACACAGAGGCCAAGAGTTATGCTGAAATTATACTTGGCAAATTTGGACGGTTAGATCAGTGGCACAGGAACCAACAGCAGCAGTGTGCAGGGTCCGCGGAGCCAGGCGAGAGACGGAGAAACGTCCCGATAAACGTGCCGGCCAATCAGGTCATTGAACACATCACCAAGCTCATCACTATCAACGAAGCTTTGATTGACACCAGAGAAATTGACAGTGTGAAACCTAGACGATCCTCTCTGTCCAGGAAGAGCAGCATAGAAGTGCCCAAGATCTCAGCTCCCAAAGCACCTGCCTCCAATAGCAGCGGCTCAGTTGATGTGGGATTGTCCAGGGACCCCCTCCATCCACGCTTTCTGAGGGTGGGCTTGCTCGCCACTCGCCTGTACACAGCCCCCCTGCTTAGGAGCCACTCCCTCCCTTCGCCGACTGGTGCTGCGGACTCTGCCACCCGCAGATTCCGCTTCAGCCACTCCTTCGACGAATGGCAGGCCTCGCCGGCCGGCAAGCGGCTGGGCCGGCATCACGGCACACTGAGGCGGCAGCCCGCCCTGGAGGTCCCTGCTGAGCCAGAGCCCATTCTCCACGAGGTGCCTCATCGATCCAGTGTCACCACGGTGATGCCTGGTCCTTGGCAACACCAGTACATCAACACGCCCGGCGGCCAGCAAAAGGAAAGCAAGAGCTACGTCTCTCATTGCCGAGGGCAAGAAGTCTTAAGGGCTGATGGATCCAGCTTCCCCACTGGATATCTGGCGGAAGAGCTGAACAACATTTCCAGAAAGGAAGTATTGATCCAGAGGTTGCACAAGAGGCAGAAAGAGGGAAGCCAGGAGCATGAGGTGGATCCTTCCAAGGTGCCTGAGATAGCTGCTCCTTTCCCCCCTACGTCCACATGCACAGGCAGGCAGAGGAACAGTGCCGTAGGGGAAAGGTGGGACAGGGCAGACGAGGCGTCACAGTCAGGCTCAGATGGGACAAACACCGGAAAGGGCATCTCCGTGATTCAGCACACCAGCAGTTTTGAGAAAAAGGAAAAGGTGTTTTCTGCTTTCTCCTTCAACAAGGACCATCACCTAGCGCAAAGAGAGCTGCCAAAGTCACACTCCCACGCTCGTCTGCTGCGCCAGCCCAGCGTTCAGGTGCCCGAGCTTCCGTTTACAGAGGAGCCAGGCGGCAGTATCGCGAAGCCCTCCAACACGGACGCAGTGTTCCAGTGGCCAAAGCGCAGCTCAACCTTGGCCCAACTCCCAACAGAAAAACTGCCCCCCAAGAAAAAGTGCTTACGCCTGGCTGAGGCGGCTCGAGCCTCCAGGGGTCTCTGCGTGAGCTCACTGCCATGTAACTCCCTCCTCCGCATCTCCACATCTAATGACAAAATACCTCAAGCCAGTCCTGAAGTGGTGCCTGCAGCAGCTCCTGAGGGTGTTCAGGTGAGCCACACGATGACAGCACTTTCGCATCTTCAGCACCCACAGATGCTGCCCAGCTATTCAGCCCAAGCCAGAGATCCCTGCTGCCCACCCGCATGGAACAAAGGACAGAGGTGTCAGCCCACGAGAGACCCCATCTGTGGAGCATCTGGCCAGAACAGACCTTCATGCCAGACAAGTGGAGAGGAGCTTCTGCAGGTCTGCCCCAGTAACCCAGACCCAGCTGTGCTTCATGCTAATTTCAGCCCAAGTCCAGCATCTGATTTTAACCACAAAACAACAAAAAATTCTAGCGAATCAAGCCTGGCTTCTCCTCCTCCTGAACCTGTTACTGACGTGAGAGCTGCCTGGTCCCCCTACAGGGTGAATTCAGACGCCGTGGAGCTCTCTCTGTGCCCAGTGCCTCCTCTTTCCTGCAGTCAGTCAGCTGTCTGCCTCCTTCCCTCGCCCTCATTAAGGAGCAGGTCCAGTTCTGTCACCATGCAGCCGGGGCTGCAAACGGAATCCAGACCATCCCCATCTCTCTCGCAGAGCCAGATCCCTGTGGTCCCTCAGGATCCCGACCGTTTGCCTGATCCCGCTCCCTCTGAGCTTCTGAGGCCCGTCACTGCGCTGGCGGTACCGGTTCGCTCTCAGACCCCTGTAGCCAAATACGGAAGCGCCGTGTACACGACACAGTCACAGATCCCTGCACTGAAACAGAAGGATCTAATCTGCTCTGCTGTAACCAAAAGGAAGCTGGAGGATGACTGTCAAAAGCCACACACAGTGATCGCCCCCTCTGACATTCAGGGGCACCAGGGCCTACTGCTGCCCCTGACGCCAGCTGCTATGGAGACTGAGAAGGGGCAGGGGAGCGCCCTCTCGCCGGCGCGCGGCCTGGAGCTCAGCCCTGACACAGAGCATCGGCAGAAGCGCGCAAAGAGGGAAGAGGAGACTGATTATAGTGACAGGGATGGTAGCGGAGGAACAGGAACTGACGAGCAGAGTTCGATCACAAACCCACCTCTGATGTCTGAAAAGAAAGAGGAAGATGATGCGGCAGCAGAGGAAGTGGATTCCAGTGATAGCAGGAAGGGTGAATCAGTGACGGGGCAGGCGCAGGGAGACGGCAGGCAAAGGAAGCCGCTGGGGGCACTGAGCTCTGAGGCGTACCCCTGCCTGCACACCGCCACCTCGCTAAGCTGGTGCTTCCTCTGCCCGTCCCCCCAGAGCGACACACAGCCCCCAGGCAGCTCCTCCCAGCCCAGCGCCTTGCCCGGCCTGAACTCGCTCGGTCTCTCCACCAGACTGGCCCTTTCCCTCCTTCAGTCCAAGCAGAAGCACAGGCCTGCACTCTACACCACTGCCAGCACGACGCAGCCCACAGCCTCCGAGCTGCTTCCTGCCGGGAAACCGCAAATGTCCCATGGAGATGTAAGTCCACCTGAGTGCATTCAGTCTCCTGCAGATCATTGCATCACAGACACCTGAAATATTTGGTTTCACAGTTCCTGCGGAAAATATAGTTGTTTCCAAATTTAAACACAGCTGTAACATTGAATTCTAGAATGTGCCATACCTATCATACTGATGTATTAAATCGTTATTAGCTAAATTTAAATACTTTATTGACTTAACAATATTGATTTATAATACTACAGCAGTGTTATGATTTTATTATATACTTGACATACATATTTTATGTATTTGCAGCAAAACTATACACAATGTAGGTACATTCAGCAACTGATGTTGACGTAGAGGATCAGATGCATGCCACGGTTTCAGAGTTAATGCCGTACTTGTGGTCCTCTTGTTACGGAGCACAGACACTGGCCTTCGCAGTGCGGCCTCAGTCACGTGCTCCTCCTTTGCCTCCTCTAGATGCGGCAGGGCGGTGCTGATGAACGTACCCAGGCAGAAGCTGCCACACCTAGTGCACCAGCAGCATCCAGGGAACCCACTCCCACTGCGGAGTAGCAAGAGAGGAGTGACCATCCAGGATGAGGCATGATCCAGCTCCAGACGAAGCCATTGCAGAGAGAGGCATATCACGAGGTTCTGGGTACATAAGTCATTTCTTCTTGGGTTAATCACAAGATCCACTTAATCTGAGTTTGAGCACATCACCTGTAGTGTATAAGTGTGAACACACTGCCTATACCATATGAGTGTGAACATGTCATCTATGCCATGAGTGTGAACACGTCCCCTATACCATATAATATACCTATAGTATATTAGCGTGAACACATTGCCTGTACCACATGAATGTGAATACCCAGCTATGCCATATGAATGAACGTGAACATGTCATCTATACCATATGCGTGTGAATACATCACACACAACATGAGTGTGAACTAGGCTTGGGCGGTATGACAGTATTACAGTATACCCTTGTATTAAGAAATCCAGAAGGTATTTTTAATACTGTCCAAAATGCAGACACCCGTCTTTCTATGAAACTGATACGGAAATGCTGCATTGAGGTAATGTACTACAGTGCACAGCACCCGCCACCAGAGGTCACTCTACTGGTGAGAAAGATGGTGACTGTAAGTGATACAAATACTGGACTAGTGAAAAAGCAAAAAGTGTCTGCCCCTGTTTGGGAGTATTCTACATTTCTTCCCAATGAGAAAGGTGGGCCAGCCAGTCTGTTCGTTTAATTTTCAGTCTACATTGAGAGTATTTGTGAACATCATGCATGTAAATAAAGTTACCTGAAACATAGAAGTTGCAACATTTCTTTAACTGATGGAAAATGCAAATGGTTTGGCACGGTGGTTGACGGTAATTGTCCATAGGTGTTGGTGTGTGCCTTGTGATGGATTGTTGCTCTTGGGTTGTTTCCTGCCTTGTGCGTATTGGGTCCAGACCCCCCACAAGCCTGAATAAGATAAGTTACAGAAAATGGATGGGAAAATACAAATCTGAAATGAATTTGTTACAAAGCAGAGAATAATTTGGAAGTAGAAAATAATTTGCTTGTGCTGACCATTTGCACACAGGACTAATATTTAATACAGTGATTTCACCCAAGTTGGTGCGTTTACATTCACGCTTCTGTTAGTAAATTAACTTAAGTATGTTTCCCATATACACCTAGAGGGTGCATACAGGACAGCGTTGATTTTTTAACTCTTCAATAAGAAATAGTTTCCTAGTGCTCAGCTTCCAGGCAAGAGTGAGTCCGTTTAGGCTCTCTCTGATTCCAGAGATTGCAATAGCTACATCAGGGACGCCCATCCAGTAGCCTACATCAGCCTACATTATGTTTTACCGTCATATACGATGGTGTAAT